TATCATACATGTTCCTTACAATATTCCCTTAGCATAGCAAAGCGAAGATGGGCTGAGAACACACAATGGAAGTCAGGTGACCTTGTAGCCTATAGTCACTAGGATTTATCATCTAAACGACAAAACACTAGAAATGACTTAAATAGCAATTTTCTCAGTTGTTCCATATTATTATATATATTAAATGCCTTAGGTCATCAGAGTTTAATTCTCTCCTTGAACCCGAATATCCATTTAGTATTTGCTTTTGTCTTCATTGATCAGAAATAGACTGAAACCGTCTTCATCTGAGATTCTGATGAAGAATCTTTTCTTCCCTACAAAAGTACATATCATGCATCAATAGTGTACTGACAGAAGTAAATATATTCTTGTACATTATTTTTCTTTGTCTTTACAAAACTCTTTGAAATATCATCTGTCATTTAATATGTAAATAAAAAACAGCTTGAGTGACTTACTGGGAACCTGAACACTATATGAATTCTGACAACAAAAGAGTGAAAAGAGCAGACTTATACTTGAGGTAAACATCTTTTTCTTTTTGGCATTTGAAGGTGTTGGGGTATATGCTGCAGAAAAATTTATAATGCATCATATGTTTGATATGACTAAATTTGTATTATAATATAGGATGTCTTCCTTTGTAATGGAGACCAATTATAAAGTTAATTTTTTACATGGAGTTTTCATCTAAACATTTCTCTATTTTACACAACATAATGAATTATTCCTTTTGTCTATATCATTAATCACTATATGTTCTAGAAGTAAAGAAAATACCATGTTTCTTTTTATTTCTTAGATCAGTGCAATGGAACATGAGATTTCCATAAAGGAACATGGATTTGAAGTTCAACTGCGAGAGATGGAAGAGAGTAATCAAAATTCCACGGTTGAATTAAGACATCTCTTAGTATCTCAACAGAAGGCAACCAATAGGTGGAAAGAAGAAACGAAGAAACTTACAGAAAGTACAGAAATGAGAATCAGTAATTTAAAGTAAGTCTGCTGTTATTTGACTTGTTTACAGAAGGCATTATGTAACTTGGATTTTAATGCCCTTGCACTGATATTTTTTTCATTCTGCACATATTAATGAAATGCTGTAGAAAAATACAGGAGCCCCTGTGTGGTGCAAATATAACACACTTGGCTAACTAACAAAATGTTGGCCGGTTTCAATCTATTTATAAGAGTGGTTCTCAACCTTTCTAATGCTGCGACACTTTAATACAGTTCATCATGTTGTGGTGATCCCTCCAACCATAAAATTATTTTCGTTGCTACTTCATAACTGTAATTTTGCTACTTTTATGAATTGAGCAGCCCC